TTCTTTTGCCGATTTTTACCAGACGTTTATTACTGTTTAAACTTTCCTTTTCACTATTCTCCTGCTATTGCACAACACATAACAAGATGCTCGTTTGGCTCAGTTGGCAGAGCGTCAGTCTCATAATCTGAAGGTCGGGAGTTCGAGCCTCCCAATGAGCATTCATTTTTGATTTTGACTATGATACATTTATTTAGTATGATCTAATTTTTTGCCTATATTCCATTGAAGGTCAGATGCAGCAGGCTTCTTACTTACTTGATGGGTATTTAACCATAATTCTTGAGGATCCCAGTAAGCTGGACAGTCACCCCCCAAATCTAGCTACTAGTTCATAGTTTTATTGAGCCTGGAATAATTATACTCAAACTATATTGTCAAGATAGGTGATTTATTGAGAAACTACTTGATTTGGAGAAATCTCGCATTCATGGGAAGCGTGTTGTTAATATAGCACTGGCCCTCGCAACAGTCACCAATTAATGACATTGCTTTAAGCCACTATATGCCATCACTAGGTACTTTTACAATTAATAGGATAAGGCCGTAGTGCACACCAAGTTATAATCCGCATATGCTTGATTTTCGGGGTCTGAAAATAAAGGGATCATGGGAACTATTGGCTGCTTTGACTAGCCACCGCAGCTTCGGCAGGGATATAAAATGCGCCATCTTTGATATATCTAGCTAAGACTTGGTGAACATTTTCGTCGAATACCGGGTGGGCATGGTCCATCATATAGAGGCGTTCGACCAACTGGTGCTTTTGGACCTGTATGTTTACACCCATTTAATTGTGATCGGTGATTTGATATATAGATATATAGTTCATGATTAGCTATAATGGCACGGCACCCGTTGTGAAGTCAATGGGACATTCGTATCTAACCAAAGATCTTAGCTAGAATATCCTCTAAAGAGCAAGTAATTTAAAGTATCGTCAATCGACGCTATATTCTAAGCAGGAGATACTTTACCTTACGATCGTGGGCACGGTTAGCTGATCGATTAAACAGGTATGCCATAAACAAATGGTTGGCGAGCATTTCCTAGGTAATTATATATTTCCATATTTTCACGATGGGATAAAAGCCAGGGAAGCATTCATTCAGCAGTCGGAGGGTTAATACGTCGAAGTACTATTATAAGGTTCATTGCATCCGCTTCGAAAAAATAATAATCGCGGTACACTGGGGCTGAATGCGAACATAGTGTAATAAAGAAGTACATAACAGCCAGCTGTGAGTCTACCTACCTTTCGACCCCAGGTATATCCAGCCATTGCTGTGAGCAGCCGTAGGCAAAAGGGGCTGGCGTCCGCGGTATCTTGCTTAGCGTACTTGACCCACTCGCCAAGTGCACGAGATTCTAATGTCAAGGGTTAGGATGTTAATTAAATGATAATAAGCTGTTAGATAATTAAAGATTCAGATATTGGGGAATCCTTCTAAAAAAACTAAAGCCGTAGGCTAGTGTGTTTGAAATGGCGCCTGGGAAGATCTACAATGCAATTGGCATTTAAATGTGGCCAATGTATGATTAATTCGACTTACTGTCAATGCGGGAGTAGAATTGCTCAGTAATTTGGGCAATCTCTAAACTATTGTCATTCCTAATAGGGAAAATGGCAACCAAAAAATGTTCAGGAAATATCTCAGAGGACCAGTTAGTAAGGATTTGCGAACCAGTTATTTGGCGACTACTTCGTGCGAGGACCCGCCTATATTGGCACATTGGTATCGATGTCTAATAACGGATAAGTAAGGCATTGCAATTCTAAAGCTCATAAAGTGTATTTACCCAGCCTCGAAAATAAGTGCGATTGCCTGTAAACAGGCTAGCGTGTATTTCTGCCAGGCATCGTTGTATTCTTCGGCCAGGCGGTCGAGTAAGTGGCTTGGATGTTGCGCCACCAGGGAAAGGCCCCTGGGCTGCGAACCAATATGGCCAAGAGCCATTACCGCGGAGCTCTAAGGTTCAGTTAAGGGAAAGTAAGAAGCCTGATTAATGCTTGTATTCAACAAAGGGGGGGGGCAGTGTTGGCTATAACGAGCGAGCTTAGCAGTTGATTGGGTATATTGAATACACCAGATTTTGATTGACATACCTTAATGTCCGAGTTATCCGAGTTGAGCAGTTTGCCCATGACGTCAAATAGCAAGGTTTCGGCTTGAAACTCGGCAAAATCAACATGCTATAAGGTAATAGTGATGCAAAAGGATGGGTTACATTGGGTCCAAGACATAGTTTAGTGGAGAGACTATGGGTGAGGGGGATTTCGCACAGGACATAGTCTGTTGTTATAAAAAATCGCGAATAGGCAATTATTACCTGGTAGTCAATAAACTTGGCAAAGAACTCGATGGTCGAGCAGCTAACTAAGGTGATTTGGATATCGCTTGATTCGGTCTCTTTTGACATTAGATCGAGGTAGGGGCTGAATACAAATTTGGATTGCATGTACGCAAATCCCTCGGGCGAGTGGGCCAGCTATTAACATATAACAACAATAGCAAAAGCAATGGAATGGCAACGGAATGAAAGGCAAATCCAGGCGCGGTGTTAATAATGCGGTGCCGGTAGTCCTAAGGAGGGTTAGCGGTTGGTGAGTTCCACAATATCACCCGGTTGGATAATAATACATGTTAGGTAGAATATCACACTTTACCTTTTGGTAAATGTCCAGGGCGCTGAGGCGTCGGAGCAAGTCGGGGGACTGAGCCTCGGCGCATAACTCGCCCAAAATACCATAGTGCGAGCAAATTTCCAGGGCTTCCGGTGATGCCAGACTGATCCCGACGAAGAGGTCATACACACGGAACCGGATTGTCGAGCTGGTGGGATTGTATAATCAAATGGCCACGGAAGGTGAGGGGTATATAGAGTTGGCAATTAGGATTTTAAAGTGATGCTGGCATAATTAGCAATGTACGACCCGGTGGCACAGTTGATATTCCGTCTGGTAACTGATGAGATTGTAAAAAAAACCACCTACTCTTTCATCATGGGGGCCATGGCCTCTTGATTTTCGGTGGCAAATACGAGGTGTAAGTTATCGGGGGTTTGGGCAACCTGTTATGAAATATATCGAATAGATACAAAGTGTAATACTATAGGGGGCGGCATTAGCGTGACATAGTTCCTGGTCTAATTTAGTATATATAAACTAAGCAAAATAGGTAAAAATACTGTCAAAGACCATCCGAATGAATCTACGTATGGACTCCCTAACGCTCTCTCCAGACCTAGGTTGACACGTCTTACTTACATTGACCAGTACATCCTCGCTCGCTCTGACTACATCCACGTTTTGGGACGACAAAAGTAATAGGATCCAGGGGATATATTTCCCCCCGAACTAACAAATATAAGAAGTAGAGGTAATGGAGGTAGCGCAATTAGCCACTAGTGGGTGCGGGCTCTACACAACGGGATCGCTGTCGACTCGACCCCTATTTATATAGTTCGATACAACTAAGCAATGCCTTAGGCAGGGCGGAACCTGGGTATTAAATTAAGTGGGGCATTACTTACTGGTCCCTCCGAGGACTTGTATTTCCGGAGCTGCTCTAGGGCGAGTAGCTGCACTGACGGATTGGGGTGCTGAAGGCCCTCGGTTAGGTAATCCTATATGCATAGTTGGTTGTGGAATTATACCAGCGTCATATTTACGGGGAGGATTATGAGACGGGCATATGGATGTACATGGTAGTACATTCTCGGGTGCGGGGTTAGAATAACAGATGGATCAAAAAGGGCTTACCGAGAAGTCCTTGTCCAAGGCGTGGTAGCTTTCAGGCCGAAGGAGATAGTGAAGGATCTTGGTAACGCCTTCAATCAAAGGGTTGCTTGGGCTCGACAGCAGGGCAAAGAAGCCAGTCAAGGGGATACTCATGAGGGTATACGACCTGATACTATCAAAATCCGGGCCTATGGAACTGCCTGGGGGTGGTTTTTAAAGCAAGAACATTTAAATAGATATATATATATATAAGGATATATGGGTGGGTATGCTGAATGCGTTTAGGCGGGTTGGCGGAGGCTATAGCCTATAGCGCCAAAGGAATCGGGGCCAACGACCCACATGTAAACAGCCAACTCGTACGGACTGCCCCCTAGCTCAGCACCTAAGGTGAGTCGAGGGGACTTTACAAAAGGAATGGCCTTACTTTGGAATTGGGCGACCAGGGCTTTTAAACCAGCGGTTACTTTGGCCAGCACCTCCTCGGTGGGTTCTTGCCCCAGAGAGTCGGCTAAAGAATGGACCAGCGCTTTCCACGGTTCGACTTGCATAATGAGGTCTTTGGAAGGACGAAAATGGAGGTTGGAATGTGAATAGTGCTAATTGTAGGTTGGCGATTAGGAAGGACACTTCCTGACTTCGAGGCTGGTTAAAGAGACTCTTGCGGGAAACCAAGTGAAACAGAACCAGAAAGGGCAACTGCTGACAAAAAAGCAAGGGAGGGAGGGCGATGAATGTGTGGCAGAGTGGGTTTCGCGGGAAGGTTTCGCCGAGGCGGTGGGAAACTCTATGCCAATAAGCAGACAGAGAAGGGAATCCTATAAAATTATGGCGCTAAAGCGGGGGTGGTGGGGGTCTTCACAATACCCGCACTAAGATAGCCTATTAACCCTTGTTGTGGTTGAATTAAGAGCCCCACGAATAAATATAGTGAACCCGTTAGACTGATCCGCACTAATGGGAACAATCGGCGAGTTACTCGAATGAGCCGGTATAGTCGAAACTGCATTTTAATAGAAGGGTCAGACAGTAAAGATAATAAAGGGCATATATATGGGGTGGTGGTCGGTCATGATATACCAAAGCTTCGATGAGCCCGAATAATAAGTAAGGGCAAATGTGGGAATTGTTTTTGCAATCCACAGTGTTAGAGGGGCGTACCTTCAACACTTTATTGCCTATTCCAACGACACTCTAATGGTCTACTGACTATGGATTGTGAAAGTCAACTGGTTTTCCATCGCATCCAAAATAACTGCCTCGCTCTCCTCAATAGGGCGGTTTATGAGCTGACCAGCCTGGGGAAATTCCTCGAAAAAATGGCCCGAGGTAAAGCTCAACAATCTTTGGCCCTTGATATTGTTGCGAACGTCATCCCTAGCCCTCTCGGCTGTGAGTTCGCACCAGTGCTTCAAGAGA